AAAACAGAAAAGAGAAGAATGCTATTTAAATAACCAATATTTGAAGCCTAAAAGCTATCATTTACAATTATAAATCTTTGCTTCTAATCTCCCTCATCTTTCCCAGGCCCTTCCCTTCATAGAGCACCCTCTACTGTTTGGTCTGTCCCAGACGGGACTCTGGTTCCTTGGTATTTAGGTCACTCATACAAATGCTCCAAATGTAAGACAATTAATGTTTCAATATAAACAACTAATTTTTAAACACTATATGGGCCAAACTCCGGCCTACAGTTTTCTCTTGCGGTCCCATTAGATAAAGATATGCCAAAAACAAAAATTTCCCTTCCTTTAATTTCCCTTTGGGTACTAATAAAACCAGAAATTAGGGCCGGGGTATAGCTCAGTGGTAGAGCGTGTGCTTAGCATGCACGAGGCCCTGGGTTCCATAGCCAACACGCGCGCGCACACATACAAAAATCCAGAAACTCTATCTGTGAATTGACTTTTTCAGAGGTTCCAGTATTAAGTTCTGAGACAAGATTGCTCTCAAAATAGAAGCGCTTTCCTTTCACACACGCAGAGAGGACTCTCGTGGTCAAATGCAGGAAACATCCTTTCTTGACTTTCTTCCTTGAATCTGTCCCCTCCTCCTCCTCTTTTCCTTTTAACCCAACTTTTCTAAATCTGAGGACTGACCCCCAGGCAGGAAGCTGACGTCTAGACACAGAGCATGAGGCTTATGCTGCCTCGTTCTCTTGCCCATCGCAAGAAACAAATATGTAATTAACTGGACCTTCCATTCCACAGCATCTATCTATTCAAAACATCGTGCTGTATATGTTAAAAACCACACAATGCTACTTGTAAATTTAAAATATAAAAATAAGAAAAACTTAGGGCCAGGGACACAGCTTAATGGTGTGTGCTCAGCATGAACAAGGCCCCGGCTCTGACCTCTAGCACTGAAAATACATCAATTTTAAGAAGAAACAAATATGCTACCTGCCAGCAAGGCTGCGGAGATAGCACCCCACACCTCACTAAGTTCCCGTAAGGTGTTGACAAACAGTCATCTCAAAGCATCACTGAAGCATGCCATGGGTAGACATCTGTATTAAACATTCGATTATGCTTGACCCCTTCACACAGGAAACAAAGCCTGAAAAGATACTTTCAAAATTCTGAAGGCAAGGTCACAGAGCAGTGGAGAGTCATAGGTTTCATGACTTCAGTCTGGGGGTGTTACCTGTGATCTTTCATTATTGCTCTGCACCCTTTGAGGGGGTCCAGGACCCCTCTAAAATCTGATTGAAGTGATGGGCTCTCTTTCCAGAAGAATGACATTCACACAAATTTATAGGCATTGTTCAAAGAATTTGTGGGTTCCCTGGTATGCAACCATTTACCCCAAATTAACAATCCCTGGCTTATGTGGCGCAGCTGTAATATATTTACTCTATGTAAGGGAATGGGGTGTTGGCATTAGGATGGTGGGATGTGGAGTGAAGTAACACCGGGGAGTAGGAGGGAAGCCAGCTTTCTCTCCTTGCCCGTCTCCTGAGGGCTGCCAGAGTCCCACAATTACATGCTCTCTGCAAATGAAATACTGCACCCTCTGTGTGACTGGAAAGTGACAATCTCAGCTCTGAATTTAAATGCCCTTAGTATTTAATTCTTTCCTCTGTGTGATTAGTACTTTGCTTTTGCACATTATCAAGATGATGGCTTCAGAAGGCAGGCTACTGGAGATCCGGAAACCCACATGTCCCAATTCAATTTCCTTGTGGAAATCAAAGAGCTCACTCTCTTGAGGAGTTGAAAGAGGCTGAGGGGTCACCTCCTTCCCCCAGGGTGCTGGTGTAGGCAGCACTCGGAAGGGTAATGTAAATACTCAGTATGAGGCAACAGGGCAGACCAATTTGTTTTTCAATCTATTTTATTTCAGTTCAAAACATCATTGCAGACAGACAGTCCAAGAAAACAAGTCACACTTTGGTTACACTCAGTCTTCCTCAATCTCCAAAAGCAGCAGAGTGTTGCCAAAATGTGGCTTGTTTTACTGGGCTGCTGTCTGCACTGATGCTTTGAAGTGAAATAAAATAGATTGAAAAACAAATTGGTCTGCCCTGGCTCTTCCTGCAGTTTCGTATTACCCTTCAAAGCCGCGTTTCCACCCACTCTTCACTGGAACCCAACAGATCCAAATCACAGAGTGAGGCTGCTGCACTCAGACGTGAAGGGCCCACCCAAACCTCAAACAGCAATTTCACTCAGGGCTGTTGCTTAACGCTGCATTAACAGGCCCCTCTGTCCATCAGTTCCCTGCTCCATTTGCTGGGTGGGAGTATATCTTTTGGTGACATGTGCAATATTGTTACTGGACACGGTTTAAAGCAAAACTTGACACCGCTGTTCTGTACAGCTCTCTTATTATGGCCTCAAATTGCTTATGTTGATGAGCTCAAACACCCTATTTTCACTTATTTAAAAAGCTTGCAACTTCTTTCCAAGCATTCACTACTCTGTCTTAAAGTATACAACATCATTTTTACAACATTATTTTAGAGGAAATTCACAATTATTTGCAAACAAATTTTGAAGTCAACACCAACTAGAAGAGGCCTGATACTTTTCTGAATCCTTTAAGAAAATGCAGATGTTGGGGCTGAGGGTGTTGGTGCGCTTAGCATCAGAGGCCCCAGGTGAGGTCCCCAGCACCCAAAAAGAAAAAGCAAATGTGGACACCTCTAACGGAGGGGCATAAATGGCTTCCAGCTTAAACACTAAAATCCTGAAAACCATGTAACCTGGTTTAAAAATTAAACCCCACTTGAAAAATTCTTTCCTAAACACAAAGAAAAAAACAAGATCTGGGGCTGGGGCTGGGGCTCAGCGGTTGCGCACTTGCCTGGCAGGTGCGAGGCCCTGGGTTCAATTCCAGCACCACATATGAATAAATAAAATAAAGGTCCATCAACAACTGAAAATATATTAAAAAAAAAAAATCTGTCCCGCTCCCCCTGAACATAGGAAAACACCCGCCCCTGCCACATTTGCCTGTAACACATTTTTCTGGATTTTTGTTTTTATTTAGTGCTTCAAATAAAGTTTCATTTGAGGTCAAATTTGGTTAGTTTACTCTAACTGGAATTCAGGAATATGTTTAACAATAAAAAGAAAACACCAAACTTATTCCGATACCTTCTCCTTTAATGAGCACATCCGCATTGCAGGCAACTGACCTGCACCTTCCCAAGGGAAGCAGCTCACCCAGGGGAAGCTGGACTGGCACCAGGGACCAAGCACAGCACTGTTGACCACAGCACAATCACTCGCCCTGGGTTCTCTGCCACCCCAAGTTCCTGCCTACCTTCTGGTCTCTGAGCTTGCTGAAAAGTTCCTCCCCTGGCTCCTCCCCCTTTTCCCTTCTTGCCAGGCTGGCTTAAACTCCCTTTTTGAAGAGGGGTCTTCCCTGGGCAGAGTGCCTAGCATTTGCAGAGGCCCTAATGTCAATCCCCAGTATTCCCAAAAGAGGAGTCTTCCCTGACCACTCAAGGCGAAGGGGGTCTTGCAGGTAAGCATCTCCGCTGTTTTGATTCCCTCAATTTTGAATAACATATTTGTGCACTGTCCTGACACTAGGTTTCAGTATCTGGGCCTCTGGGACTGCTCACCCCAGTGATCACAGGGCCTACCACAGTGGTTCCTGATACACAGCAAGCACTCAAATATTTGCTCAGTGAATGACCTGGATTTGTTTATTTAATATCTACCTGGAAACACCAGGTTGTGAGTACTGGCTAGCAACTGAGGGTATAAAAGGTGAGGTATGGTCTCTGCCCTTGGGGACCTCCCAAGCCAACAGGAAAGACAACAGATGAAACAATGTAGTGTGACGAAGGTTTAGCTTCAGCTTCCAATTTCCTGGAAATCTTGGAAATCTCTCCTCTGTGAGCCTTTTCCTCATCTGTAAAATGGGAATAATTACACTGCCTGTGTCATTGTGTTGGTGTGAGGAGTAAGTGACAATCCATATAAAGAAAGAACTCAGTCCTAGTACCTGGCACAAAGGAATCACTGAATAAACATTAACTACGAATTGTTATGCTATGACAACTGTGTTTGAAATTATCTTTGTATACAGGTATAGCACCTGTCCAAGCCCCTGAAGAATTTAAATTCCACGGAAGAGCAGAGATCTTGTCTTGTAAACTACTATATTTTCAGGGATTTGAATAGTTCCTGGCATAAAGTAGGTGCTCATGGAAAACCAAACAGCTAATGTACGCATTCAGGCAAGCATGGATGTTCCAAACCAGTTAAATCAATGATGAAAAGCTAGATGTGGGAACTAGTGCCATAGAAGGTGTCTATATTGGAAGGAGGAAGGGAACTTAAATCAGATATATTTAACTTTAAGATTGTTTAAATCTCTATAATTCACACCAAACTTTGCATACAATTCCAGGGAAGAACCACACTCTCAGCTGGAGAAAACTTGAGAGAATAATGTGTGAAGCAATGTGATCTTGGCCACAGGGCAGGGGGTTCCCAGGAATGGGATCCACTTTCCAGCCCTAAAACGTAGCACACCTTTAAATAGCTTAATCGCTCCTACTTCTTCCTTTTTGCAAAACGGAAACAAAGCATTGCCACCCAGCACAATAAAGCTATGTATAAATACAAATAAAGCACCTAGCTTACTGGAAGCACTGGGTGGAGATGGGATTACTGCTCTGTGAAGTAGGAAAAACAACTCCTACTTTGCATAATCAATAAGACCAGAAGGGGTAATGGAAACCAGAGCGTGCGTCACCTACAGGGCTCCAGGTGCATGGCCCGGTTGTTGTTAAGTCAAGTTTCCCACTTGAAGAATCACTGACGGACAACTCTGACCCAATCTGCTTGCCTCTAGGACAGGAGTCGGCACACGCAAAGGGACAGCGAGAAATATTTTTGGCCTTGTGGAACTTGCCATCAAAGGCTTGCAGTGGCAACACAACTGTGCAACTACTCACCTCTGCCCTCGCAGCAGGGAAGCAGCCACGGAGCAGACCTACAGCCAACAGGGCTGCGCTCCCGTCAAACTTCGCTTAGGGACACTCAAGTTTGATTTCACATAACTTACATCCTCTTTTCTTCCCCCAAACACTCAAAAACTTAAAAATCATTCTCGCTCCCAGCAAACACATTGGGAGGGAAGAGAAGGGGGACAGGTTTGGCCTTGGGCCGGGGGGAGGCAGTGAGCCTGCAGAGCCAGGGCTGGAGGGCAGGCCCAGCTCCCGGGCCCAGCGCCCCGACCCGCTCCCCGCCGCAGGCCGCGGCAGAGCCCCGAGGTGGGCTGCCTCCCCCTCGGGGACGCGACCAAGGACAGCCCCGCGGAGTGGCCACGCGGAAGGGTCCCTCGGCGCCCCTCACTGAAGGCGCCTTTCGGGCCTCCGCTCCAAAAGGGGTCTCCACGCTGAGTCCCAGCCCCGTTTCTATGGTTACCTGTTCAGCACCGATTCAAACTGCCGTTCTTTATTGACAGCGCCATAGAGGACACGAACACTCCTGCCCGAAGGGAACAATAAAGCTTTCGCCATTCAACAGCGCCGGAGACGCCAGAAGGCGGCCATCTTGAGGCCGGCGCGGAAAGATAGGAGCCGGGAGGGGCGGTGCCTCCGTCCCGCCGCACCAGTCACGTGCCGGGGGAGGGTCTCGCGAGAGGCGGGGCCTGCATCACGCGATCGCTTTCCACGAAGGCGGCCCCTGGGCCAGCTCTGCTCCAGTTGGGACGCTGGCCGCTCCTTCCTCTCGCCACACCTTCCCGTGAAAGTTCTACAGGAGTTTTACCGCTCCTTGCTGGAGCAGAGTTAGGTGAGGAGCTTGTTCCAAAGAATGGCCCTGAAGTAGACACAAAAAGTTTCCTTCCATTTTTTCAAAACAACACATTCACGTTCAAGGCCGAACTGTGACCTGGGCCGCGTCCCCAGACGAATTCTCATTGGTGGAAAGGGTTAGTGCCGCTCTGATGCGATAGGCTAGCAGGCCTAGGGTCAACCAATCGTGGTGTTCTGCAGGCATTTTGGTCCCTCCTCTCCCTCCCAGTCTCAGGATTTAGGCGCTGGGGGGCCAAGTGCCTGTAGCTTTTCTTTTCTTTTCTCCTTCCTTCCTCTTTCTCTTTCTCTCTCTCTCTCCCCCTCCCTCTCTCCCTCCCTTTCCCCCCTCCCTTCCCCCTCCCCCCTTTCTTTTTTCTTTTTTTTTGGTACCGAGGATTGAACTCAGGGGCACTCAACCACTGAGCCACACCCCCAGCCCTATTTTGTGTTTTGTTTAGAGACAGGGTCTCACTGAGTTGCTTAGCGCCTCGCAGTTGCTTTGAACTTGCCATCCTTGCTTTTCTTTTGTGTATTTTCCCTCTCACGTACTTCCTCACACCCTCCCTGTACGTACCCCACCGAAGCTCCCCCTCCCCACACAAGCAGTGAAGTCGCTTTCAGACATTTTGGACAAATTAAAGTCCCATTGGCGCTGGAGGATGAACGCCGTCATTGCACCGCACTCGGGTCTTTTTCTGTCCAGTCAGATGTCCAAATTCATTCTTAACAGCTGTGACATCCACGGTGTCAATCTTCAGTCCTTTTGAGAACTGTCACTGTCAGGCTGACTCTCACTTCATCACCGTTTTTCATCATGAGTTCGGTCTACTGGACAGAGGCGTCACTTGGAGCGTTGCTGTCATCCGGTCCATCATAGTTACTGTCACTGTCTGATATGCAACTACTGCCAATGACCGTAAACTTCAAACAGTTCTGTTGCATATAGCTGTGTGCCCAGCTGTTACCCTTTCGGTTGTTTTCACTGTCATTGGCACTCAGCTTCATTCACTGCCTCTTAAGTCAAGCCAATTTTGCACAGGCCCCTACTGGTACACAGTTGTCCTTGTTACTGCCTAGTTGGTCACTTTCGTTATTATACTCACACATCACTGTCACATTCGGGGTCATGTTTACCGCAGATGACATTCAGTCATTTTTATAGTCACTGGAACTCAGCCCACTGCTATTGGTCTTCCAGTCCCCCATTTCCACCAAGCCCTCATTCTCCTTTATTGAAAGTCCGCAGTGTAGAGCTGCCGGATTTAACAAACCAACTCCTAAATTAGTGCTTGGCACATAGAAGGTGCTCCAGATATATTTGTTGAAATAGTGGTTTAAAAAAAAATCAATGTTACCAATGTGCTGTATGTAAGTATGGATGGCTTGAGGCTCAAGAGTCTCAAACAATAGGAGTAAGTTTTAAACTCCTCAATTTTACATGATTCTGCATCTTACAAGGATTAAAAGAATAAAGCACAAGAAAAGTGGCCACATGTACACACGATTCCTGGAACCATGGTTACAAAGAATAGGAATGGGTGGGGGGGGGGCTGTTGCGCTGTGCTGGGATCAACTCAGGGCCTTGGGCATATTAAGTAAGGCTCCACTACAGAGCTATATCCTCAGCCCCAAGAATAGGATTCTTAACGGTTGTTTTTCTTATTATTTTAAAAGAATATATGTTTATTTTAGAACATTTAGAAAAGGTGGGAGATAATCTTTCCTTCAGAGGGGTTGTTTTAGACTTAACAATGCCATCAACCAGCACAGCCCACACATTCACAGTCAATGGTCATTGGCTGTAAATTCCCCATAACCTTTACTTGAGATTTGGCATTACAGGTTGAGCATCATGAATCTGAAAATCCCAAATCTAGAATGTCCTAAATAGGAATCTTTTTGAACATAAACACAACACCACAAGTGGGAAATTCCACACCCAATTTCATGTGACAGGTCGCAGTCAAAATGCAGGCTCACTAAAAATATTGTATAAAAGTTACCTTGGATCTGTGTATACAAGGTGTGTATGAAGCATTAGTGAATTTTCTATTTGGAAATCTCATTATGTATATGCAAATATTCCAAAATCCAAAATACTTCTGGTCCCAATCATTTCAATCAAGGGATACTCAATCTGTATTAGACATTCCTATGGGACTGACTTTTCTCCAGTTCATGAAGAGTAGCATAGGCGGGCCGGGGGGGGGGGTAGTTCAGGTGTGAGACACCTGCCCAGCATGCCAGCTCCAGCCTCCCAAAACAACACACAAAACACTGAAGCAAACAAGGAAAAAGAAAGTCAAGAAGGCTATTTGACTAGGCATGGGAATGCAGGCCTGTGGACCCAGTTACTTGAGAGGATGAGGCAAGAGGATGGTTTGAGCCCAGGAGAGTTCAAGATCAATCTAGGCAACATAGCAAGACCCTGTTTCAAAAGGAGCAGCAGAGGGTCATGCAGAGCAATAGCCCTGACCTCTGGTCACCATCCCATGAAAGAATAAGAAAACGATGTATGGGCCTTAAATGATGTCATTTCAGAAGCTTTGGAAGAATAGCATGCTTCCCAGTTGCCAGAAAGACCCAAAACTTAGCCTTGAGAAGAAAGATATTTGAGGACTTTTCAACTTTTTTTCCCTACCTTAAACAGAAAATGTTTTGAGGCCACTGTCCCACATAAGATGGCCAAGGTGGCTGCAGTTGAACACCAACCGTGGGGCTGGGCGTGTAGTTCAGTGGTGGAGCAACTCATTTTAGTGTGCACAAGGCCCTCAGCTTGATGCCCAGCACAAAAAACAAAACAAAGCAAAAAACAACCAACTGTTTCCAGAATGACTACCAAGGAATGATTGCCAAGGAGGCTGAGCTCCTGGTTTCCTGCTGTAGTGGAATATAGCCCAGTGACCACCCTTTCTCCTGCTACGAAGAGCAATCATTGTTTATCTATCTCCCTCCTGCTCTCGGCCAGGTAGCAAGCCAAGCTCTTTATCTAGCTTATCTCATTAATTCCCAATAACCACTCAACGAAGCAGGTCACACTTAACCAAAGAGGTAACCAATTCAGAGAAGGGAAATAATGTGCTCAAAGAAACATCGCTGCTCAACGGCGGCATCAGGGTTTAAACCCAGGAGACCTGACTCGGAGCCTTTGCCCCTTTCAACCCAGAATACAGACTTTGGGGTTTTACAGAATGAATGTGTTCTTTGTAAGGAATTCAAGGATTATGGGAAAATACAAAGAGAGCAAAACCAGAATCGTTGTACATCCTACCACTTAGCAGTAACCTATCATTATAGTGGAGCGTTTCTCCATCTCTGGGCAGATTTATGTAAGTAGGTGGATAGAGAGATAATCATGATAATAATGACGACTTCCATCCAGGAAGCACTATGTGCTGAACTCTCTTCTAAGCGCTTTTCATGAACTAACACATTTAATTTACTCGAAGAGAGAGATGGATAGGCATAATTTTATTAAAATGAGCTCATTTAACATATTCAGGGTTCACATCAGCAGTCAACCACCTGCTGATGTTTTTCACCAAATCTGGTTCCTTCCTTAATTTTTCTGGCTCTTCTCCGCCTTCCAATCAAATTCTAAGCCCAGAGTCCTTGGGCTGCAAAAACTGAGTCTTTAAATAGCACCCTCTGCACAGCTGCTGCCCAGTCCAATGTCCCCGCTGGTCCCCAAGGCAGTGGTGTTATTTGTGGAAGCGAAGTTTGCTACAGACTTGACATATGCTTTTTATTTGTTGGAGTGGTGTCTGGCCCTTGGCATTCTCCTTCCTGGCTTTCTAAGTGTTAGAATTTCACTATCTTTTTCTGCAGTCCAGGTCTTTAGATCTGGCCCAATGGATAGCAGCCAGTCTCAGATGAGGATGTTGGAATTTGCCAAATGACTCAGAAAGGTCAGCCACCTGCTCATCCATCCAAGGATGACAAAAGACAAGGAGGCAGGCGGCTTTCTCCAGGGGCACTGCCCAGGCTTCCAGGTCCGGAACACTCCTGCGACCCTCACCACTGATGCGTTGTGAATGAATTCCTTGCCCATTTGCCCCCAAGACAAAAAGCACTCTCACATTTAGAATGCTGGAATCAGACTCCCGCTGAGATGGCTCCCAGGCCTTTCATATTCAGCAGATCTAAACCAAAGTGATGGTCTTCCAGCTACCCCCGCGCTTCTCCCCTGGGCTCTTTGGCTCAGAGAGGCCACCCCAGCTCTCCACCTGCTCAGGTCAGACACTGGGGAGTTGTCCTGGACACTTCTCTCTCTAGCCCTCAACTGTTTACCAAGTCTTGTTGATTTTACCTCTGGTATACTCTGTCCATTTCCATGGCCAAAGTCCAAATGACTTTTACCTCCCCACTACCATAATATCCTCCTCCTGTAGCTTCTTTTTCAAGGATGTTGTACTTTGTCAAATGTGAATAATGTGCTGATAAATGG